ATTATGACCCAGTGAACACACCCATTGCGACCGCCGGAGGTGCTGTGAGGGGTTTGATGCCAATGGAGGAACGGGAGGCATGGAAAGAGGTACAAGAACATCAAGAACAGCAAAAGGAACGAGGAGCATGAAGAACACATGAACAAAGTGAAAAGATCATGAACAACATGGAAAGCAAAAGGACAGTGTGACATGATGGAAACTTAAACAAATCACAGCACACAAAGCCAACAAAGCCAGGCCAATCGTTGGTTTCGCCTGCCAGGTTGTTCCTTCTTTTTGTCCAGGTTGTTCTTTCTTTTTCCCCTGGAAACGGCGTTCAAGGATCAAATGAGGCTTGTCCAAAGGGAAGATGAAAAGGAAGGACGACACTGAAGAGGCATGCTTTCAGGCATTCTACAGCTAAGCTAATCAGATATCACTATACAGGCACATGCTGGTACTTTGGCTGGTGGGTTTAATATGAACTGAGGAGTCATTGCTCATTTCGTTATTAGGCCGCAAGTATGGAGGTAGTCGCTGTCTCTGGTACTGTCGCCAAGCGAAGCATGAGGACTCTGCTCATTCTGTCGTGTTTCACGTGACAATTGAGGGACCTGAAGCGGTTTGGCCAAATGCAACGGCAGGGCAGCAAAGCCCGGAAAGGAAGGGAAAACGATCTGGCAAAGAAAGAAAACTGATACTGGTAGAAAGTCAGGAATATATTTGTTTTGCCTAATCAGGGACGATTCCTGATATTAAACAATATTGGTATTTATTACATATTGTTAATATACAATATTTGAATAGTTTTATATATATATATACTACTTCTGCATTGTGTTTGCATTGTTCAGCTATTATTGTAATTACTGGGGAAGCGAGCTCATGAGACTCATGACAAGTACTGTACCCTGTGCATCTATACATGAAGCGTTCCTCGAATTTCCTAGATATGTTTGGACATCAGACATGCGGTGAGTTATGGTTGGCTTTCTTGTGAGAAAGACAAAGACAAATGAACAGGAAATATCCAGGATCGAAAAGGATAGCCCATATGGCGCAGGTATCCTGAGGTAAAAAGAATCCCATATCATTTCTGGGTTCCTGGGTCCTTCAATTCTCCATCCCATGTCATCCGTTCCTTCATCCGTTCCAACATGCAAAACATGTTGACGAGTCGCTGCTGTTCCAACACCACTAAGTCGATTTGCTGTCAAAAGCCACATGCGTGGACACCCAGTTGTTTGAGGCTAGACATTGACTCACCTCACAACTTGTTTGCTCCTATCTTGGCCTCCCACTTCAACACCGAGGATGGATGACCGGCGGCTGCTGGATGAAGGGGAAGTGATTCAGATTCCGCAGCTCAGTCTGCAACGTGTTGACATAGAGATAAGGAGATCCTTCGGCATGTTCAGCCAATGTTCAGCCATTCGGTTGTTGTGGATGTTCGTCTTCCTATTTCAATACGAAACAGGCCAGCGGCCGCTCCCATGTCAGCCCTGACTGCTTAGACGCGATTTGGGTTTCGATCATTTTGATCCCCTGGTGATCAAGACAAACATCCACGAGGTTGAAACCTCCCTGAAATAATCACGGAAGTGGATGGCATGGCTCCCCTTGGATGACCATGAAATCCTCTACAAACAGGTGGTGCTATCAACTTCCATGTGAGTTTTCCTCGGAGGCTTCACCTGTTTGGCTTCGACTTGTTGCGACGACCAAAGCTTTCACCCTGAGGAAAGGCTCCTCTGACCAGAGGGAAGCCTTCAACTGCGTTCGGATCCGCATGACAGGCAGGAGCAGAGTGGATGGAGAGTGTCACTGACAAGACGGACAAAGGTTTGTTGCTTTTGTGTTTGTTAGGGTTTTTTAGATCTTAACTTGGTTGTTTAGCATAATGTATATAAGTAATAAGTATATATGATTATATGTGTTTATTATTGTTTGTTTTTGTTATCATGTTGCTGATTGGTGTGTTTATTTGTATTATTTATTCATTATTGTTGTTGCTCCCTCACCTATCGTGCCGACTTTCAGCCTGTAGGTTAATATCAAACTAGTTATGTATGTACTCTGTTTTGAAAATTATTGATATTCCTGGCAATCAACAGTAAGATTGTGTTGGAAACCACATGCCACATGCTCTCTACTTAACATACTTCCAAAGGAACTAGATGCAGAATAGGAACAGTTGCCTGTAAGCAAGAGGTATATAATCTTATAAGGATCCTGCCAAGTAGGCATGTCTTGTTATTGCTTCCAATTTGCTGGTACGCCTTGGGCTTGTTTAATTGACATTCACCACCAGTGCTGGCACAGTCGAAGGAACTCGGTGGTCTCATCACTTGAAGCGAATTCGGGGGCCTGGAGACATGCGTTTTGGAGCGTCCTCCTTACCTCATGACTCATCCCAAAGACCCTTTTTACATTTTCTCCAGTCATATAGAAAGAGAAACAGTCACATATATATATATATGACACTTGGTGTCTCTTCTTACTATATTATCTCTTCCAGCTTATTTATTTTTATATAGTACTGTAGACTAGTGTTTCGGTCCGACGGTGTGGAGGGAAAACGAACCGTGTCATCGCGGTCCACCGGGACCGTGTCATCTCACTGGGAGGTCCTACGACCTCGTACACCTGGCATCTGATGGTCTCGTGGTTTGAGGTCTTTGGCAAAGTGAAGACCTATTCAGGAATGAATGACGCTTGGGTCGATGCACGCTTTTCGATGGGTCTTGGGTTTTTGCAAATTATGAAAGTGCTTAGTTTTGGGTTCGAGTTTGGTTTCAGATCGAGGTTTCAAGGCGCATGATGTGAGTTGCGTGTTGCTTGTTGCCTCAAGCTGTCACACCTAGCACGACCCTCAGAGTCCATGTTCTTCCTCACACTCTCGGATGGTGGTTTTTACTTGTTTGACGGACATGGTGGAGGTCGGACCAAGGAGCCAACTTAGACTTTATTATGCTAGCTGCTAGCTGGCCATCTCTTTGACTCTGTGGCGTTCCGCAATGGGAAAAATGGGTCTCCGGAAGAACGATCTGGCTGTGTTGGGGTGCTAGCGAGAGACATTTGGCTGTGTATATTTGTACGGAACAAAGGCGGGGGCCAATATCAATGTGTGTTTCTCCTTTTTCAAACCCATGTCCCCCATGTTTCCAAGATGTTCCAAGTGTAGTCCAGAAGCATCAGACCAGCGGCAACTTGTTTTCAACCCTACATAAGAATAAGTAACCCTACTATCGTTGTGAGATGCACATGACGTCTCGCTCGAATCTTAGGATGGTATTCATCTCCGAGATTGTCCGCATAGATCTCGGAGCCTTTCTGACTTTCTGCGCCTCGGAAGCTTCCGCGCCAGCTAGGGACGCAGGCGTGGACTGTTTGAGCCCCAATCCTAAGCCATGAGGGTTGCATGGTCGTGGCGCGTCGGGAAATGAGACTCATCCAGCAAGCAAGTTTCCACAGAAGGTGAGAGCAGTGCCAAGATTTCTGATGGCCGCATGACTATGATGCTTGAGCATCCACTGGTGAGGCTGAACATATCCTGTGTCTATGTAATCTGGGATGAATCAAGTTGAATCAAGAAAATATTAGAAGATCGATGAAGATAGTCGGGTATGGCCTAGAGTTAATTTCTGGTCATCACCGTTACGGTTGCCCCGGTTTGTAGCTTCGAAGCAAGGGAAGCACTAGACAAGCCATTAGCAGACTTTTGCCGACGCATCCATGTCAGAATTGGCGAACAGAGCTGGACCTTCTGCATGCAATTCAAGCATCCCAAGGATGATTTGCGATATAGAACCCAGTTGCGATCCGGTTAGCTCCAGGCAGCTATAGATCCGAAACCTAGCAACATCTAGCAACTGAAGACGTAGAAGTCCTGAAATGCAGTTTGTTAAATATGGTTGCCAATGGAGTGGTAACGATGATCCACTGCGAAGACGGAGGGGTGGCGCGTTAAACTGACGCTGACCCGAAGAGACGCAAGCCCGGCGGGCGGGCGCACACGCGCCAGCATCGGGCGACGGTAAAGGTTTTGAGAGTGTGTGTGTGTGTGAAGACAAGAAAAGACCTAGACCTAGAAGAAGTGAGTATTTACTGCTAGTCCTGAATTTGCTTAGGGTGACGTCCATTTTTCCAATATTGGGCGAATCCCCTTCCGCGCAATAATTAATTATGTTTAATGGTGTTATGTTTCCTGGTTCCTCGAGCAAGTCCAAGTAGCCAAATAAGGTGCATTACTGGGAGGCAAATGTTTGACTTGCGAGCTCGAGGTTGATTTCCTGCAATTTCTATGAACCATGGGAAAGAGTTGTGTGACCTCTACCATTCCGCGACAGGTGGCTTTGATTGCTGAAAACTGCCCAGCTCCTTCTATCGAGTCCGACATGTCGACTTTGCTAAGCAATTTTGTTAGAATCACACAGTCTTGGAACACTCGTCAAAGACTTCTTGCGTCAGACCGCTTGAACATCCGTGTTCAATCGCAGTCCTCCGTGGTTCCCCATTGTTGGAGGAAGATGAGTAAGACATACCTTAGACAAATCTAGAGAACATGTTGCACGATTGTGCACCACCAAATGTCTGACATTTGTTGGAATAAATACATTTTGCACCACCATGAGACAAATCACCAAATCACTCTGAGATGTACCATGACGCACCTGTACGTAGACGGCGGTTGGAACATGGACCAACCAGGTGGCCAGGTGAAGAGGTGGCCCGCTCAAAGGCCCCGGGTAGTATGGCCCGGCTTGTGCCAGATTCCTCCTGTTCCTGGAAACACTGGAAATCATGGTTACGTGGAGGCCTTGTGACAATGTTCCTCTACAAAGCAGTGGTGCCATCCCATATTTCAACGAGTGCAAAAGAAGCGAGTGCTGCTACTGCTATAGTGATGGTTATTTTCCCAAACTGGGCGAATTCCCTTCTGGGAATCGGCACTTTTCCCCGGAATCCTGGACGGCGCATCCAAGTCCGCCGTCTTTGGAAGCTGCGTTCCTTTTCAGGGCCATGACCACTATGGCCGCTACGACTTGCAGGTGCGCGGGCCGAGCCGACCATCGATCTGTCCAAAAAAGTCGGCTGAGGGAGAGTGCAACTCATTATTTTCCTTTGACTGTCAAACAATACTACCCCACAGATTAACATGGACCCCGAAACCAACTTGGCTGCAAAGGTATATACATGGTCTTGCACGGGTCAATTCTCAGGTTCCTTGTTAGTTTGCGGGGGGTGCACTCTTGACTATCCCTCATTTGTTGGTTTCATCCGACGCTTGGTTGAAGTGGGCCTCATTTGCCCCACGAACTGATCCATGAATGATTGATCACCGAATGAATGGGGTATGAAAACATATGAAACCAATGGATGCAACCGTTGAAGCGCTATCAGTTTCATCCTCCAATTTTTGGGAGCTGTTCCAAGGATGGTGCTTGGATTCATCAGGATATGCCAGTGCATTGTATTAGGGAGACCTCCCAAAGACCCCCCAGAAGAAGGAAACTAGTCCAAATCCCGTTGGTTGGGTGTCTCCCTATTAAGATACGTGTCTAAGATTGTCGTGGCTTTGCGATGCTTTTCTTCTCCTTCGCCCTCGTTCGCAGTGTTGGGGCCCTCCGCCCATCTCGTCCGCGCCTCGTCAGACCTTCTATTTGCTCGCAAAGACTTTGTCGCTGGAGCAACTGCGTGGTGAGGCACCCATTGTGCCAAGTCCAATCCAGGCGAGGGCGGACTTCACGAGTTTGCAGGCGATTGCAGGTCTTTTTGGGGGGATCAGACAAGCATCATGATAATATGAAGAGACAGGGCTGTGGGTCAACACTTGGGGACCCTGGTTGACCACTTAAACGTGAGTTCTTTTTTGATGCACAGCCATATATAAGCATGAAAACTTGAGGACCAAACACTTGCGACGCGTCCGTATGTTGTCCCAGTGTGATGGACAGTGACCTTGAGTGCTGCCATCCCCTGAGTTCATGCATCGTCCATCTCTGACCATCCCATTTTTCCGTTGCTCGCTGCTCGCACCCATGTCCGCGGCGCGCCAGTCGGTGATCCCCGCCGTGTCGGACAGCGCTCGCGCGCGTTCCGCGGTGGTGCTCGTCTCGGAAGCCGAGCTCATCGAGGAGGCGGGGGACGCGACGCGACGAACATGGGGAATCCTGTCTTGCTGGTTTTGTCGGGTGACCAAACACCAGCCTCGAATCTGCGCGAAAACATATTTGATTCCTTTCCTAATCTTTCCTACTTACATAGAACACTTAGGACACCACAAAATCTGGTTTTGTTCTCTGAAAGTCCCTTGGTTCACTGGGCTACCCGCGACCTGGTGCCCCTGCTTTCCGTGCGCAGGCAGCTCCCAGCACACCGTCTTCGGGCACAGACCGTCGCACACCGAGAGCAGAGCCGTCACGCAGAGCAGAGCTGGTGCAGCGACTCTTTGGGCTCTTGGATGGAGACAAGGACCTGTTGATTGGGCTTTTTCAAGAAGGTCTTCAAAGGCATGCACACAAACCGCATCAACAATGTTCTTTCCGCATAGACAATGTTCTTTCCGCAGCAACAATCTTGCTTTATACACACTTGAAGTCTCTTAGATTAAAGGAAGAACTTTCCGAACACTAAAAAAGAACTCTAAACAAGTGTTTAAAAAGGTTTACAATGGTCTAAAGAACTTGTCAACATGTATGTCCGAACACTGGCCGAACGCTAGTATAAAGCTACAAGTGTTCTTTGTATTTATAAAAGACAACCGTTTGTCACCCGAACACGGAACCAAACACTAACATTTTTTGTAAACGTCTTTAATTGTTTGAGCATTGTAACTTTGAGAAGAAGTTGTAAAAGAAACTTGCAACTTTTAAAGCATAAGTTGTTGAAAGAAGTTGAAAGTTACCACAAGAAGTTGAAATCTGCCAAGCAAGTTATGAAATAAATTTGCTATGGCTGTGTTACGTATAGGCTTATTCCAGGTACAACCATCGCAGACCTTTTGAAAACACTCAACCTGTTGAGGATCGTTGTTTGGATCGTCGTTGGGGTGTTTTTATTCATGCATTCAAGGTATAGGCAGGGTCGTTGTTTGGATCGTCCTTGAGGTGTATTCCCTTTTGTCTTTCAGCGGCGGGTGTTCATGGCTCCGTAGTACGTAGCTGATGGATGTCCTGTAGATGTTCCCTGAAACCAATAGATAAGATCCAGCAAGTGGAAATATATACCTTGATTTCGGGTCTTCCAATCATGCAGAATGTTTGCCTTTGAATCAATACAACCATGCCCAATGGCAGACATTCTGCATCGTTGGAAGATCCAAGTATCTCTATGTATCTCTCATACTTCTCCCAAACCAACCATAAGGGCTACCCAGCTTTGTGCGAGTGAGAGCCGCTGTGCGCTTCTTCGTAGTTGATGACGTGCCGCTTCATAGTTCATGGGAGTCGTCCATTGAAGACCGAGGGAGAGGGAGAGTGATAGTCGTCTCAAAGAATATACAATGCAGAACCTGCAGAACTCAGGAGACACGTTTATGGACATTTAAGTGACCATGACATAATTAGGTATAAAAAATCATATGAAGTCATATATATATATATTTGTGAGTGTTGTTGCGTTTATCCTTCATCCACCAGCAGATCACGGAACCCCAGATTAATTTGAGGAAGGCCTCGAGGGTCTTCAGGTGCAGTCGCATGTTTTAGTTGTACCAGTAAGACAGGTCGAGAGACCGAGAGACCTGCACTCTGTAATAGTACGGATGAGCCAAGGATGGGCTGTGAAAGACCTCTCACGTGGCTTGTCGCGGTGTTCTTTTTGCGCAACAAAAGAAGCCATTAGGGGCTCCTGGCCTTACTACTAGGAGCAAGGACGCTACTAGGGGCTCCTGGCCTTACTACAAGTAACAAGAAACTATTAGGGAAGAAAGACCCACGCCGGATCCACACCGTTCGCCGACTGCGGCCGGGCGTTCGTCTCTTTGTTATTTCTATCATACGTTTCTTTAATTAATTTCTACCCTTTATATACTGCGGCCCTTCAGGACGGTCGCTGTGGTGCCAAGGACCTGACAGCAGCTTGGGACTTCATGAGACGCGAAGTAAGTTTGTCAATGTGTTTTTGTGACTTTCATCAGTGAACTCAATCGTGAGGGTCATAGGTCATCAAGAATGATCATGTCGGTATGGCATGGTGAAAGGGCTTCTCGGAGGATTCGACCTTTGGAGCTCAACGGGTGACTTCGGCCGACCTCTGGCGACTTCTCCGACCTGGTCTCTCGGTGTCGTCGGTCTCGGGTGTCGTGTCTCTCGGTGTCAAAGCCGTTCGTGGTCGTCTGTTCAGTTTGGTTCGTGCTTGGATGTTCAGTTTGAGGGTGCCCTTTTTGGGGATCCCATTTGGGATGTCCCTATAGACTTTTTGGGGATCTGGTCGTCGTACCTTCGAAAGGTGATTGGAGACCATGGACTCCGAGACAATGGATGTGTGTGTTGCTTGGTCTCGGATCAAACTACCGAAACCAGTCGACGTCTTCACAAAAATCTGTAAGGCGTTGTAAGGGATGTCCTTTGTGGAGACAACGTCGACTAGTCCTTGGGTTCCCAGACTTTTCAGGTCCTCCTGAGCAATACCCAGCCTGCTGCGGGCCAAGGTCTTTGCTTCTCGCCAGAGCGAGGCCAGAGATGCGATCAATGCTGTTTAGTGGCATTGTGTGGCCTGGAAGTGGGGTTCGAGGTCCAAAGTGTCCACCACGGAGATCAGTTGTGGAAGTCATGTCCTTTTACATTGTCCAGATATGCCCATTTTGGTCTTTGGGACATTGACCTTTGCCGACTTCTTAGAGTCTTAGAGGAAATTGCTCGGAGATGTGTTTCGCAGCACTCCCTTCACGGTCCAAAGTGTTTTTCAGGTGGCCAGAGGAACTGTGGGTGCTGATAGGGACCTGAACATACATGAACCGTGAACCCTTTGTAGATGCACGGCTATTTGTTTCTTGCTTTTGCGGTTATATTTTGAGATAGTTTTTTTGATGCAAGTCAATCGGGTACGTGATAGCTACCCTACAAGGCCGCTGAATTGTGGGTCAAAGCGCCTGAAATTGACGTCAAAGAAGTGCACAACAGTTCCGCACTCTGACTTGTTTCGCATAAATGCTTTACAGTGGTTCTCAAGAGAAAGACTTTATGTATTTAAACACAAACTTGTTGGAGCAATTTATTTGTATTTTGGGTTAGTTTTTCCATCTTTGATTCTTGAAGCGCTTCTAAAAGGGTTCCGTCTGCACTTGGGGAGGAATAATTTGCATTCCAACAGGGGCTACATGTTGTCGGTGTCGCTTGGCTTGCACAATGCTGCGATATGTACTTCCTTGAACTCCTGTGAACCACCCACTATGTATAAATATATTAAATATACATTCCATAAGTATACTGACATAGAACAGATCCATGACCCCCTACCCTTGCAGCTCCAATTCTCGGCCACTGGCAGGTTTGGACATTGCACTTCAGGAAGCTTTGCAAACATTGGAAGGTGGACCCTCGCCAAGGCTTGGGAGTCACCCTTTTGAAACATGCCTGGCGCGCGCGCGTCTTCAGGCTCTTGGGGCGTTTCAGCATGACTCCGTTTTTTTTTTAGTATGTATATATATATATAAGTAGAAGTATAGAACATATTTATATAATATATATATAGAGTATATGTATATGTATGTGTAACATGTGTGTATATATATGTATTATACAGATACATATATCATAATAAGTCAGTTCTATTATATATATATAATGTATATAGCGATGCTTGGCCCCGACCTGGCTGGGGCCTCTTTGGCCTCGCAGCTGAACAGGTATGGACGTCGCCACCTTCACACAGATTCTCGAGGACAGGCATCATCCACCGGGATCGTTTGGGGAGTTGTTCTTCGAACGGACGTGGGTTTCAAGATTTTTCAAGGTGAAAGAACGCAGATCAATTGTGCTGTGAGAGACAACTCCCTGGAATTTGTGATACTGTCAGTGTTTCGTTACATGGTATGTTCTTGTCACCATTGAGCTCCATTTTGCGGTTTGGGGAAGCAGTTGATCGACAAATTCTTTCATCAAAGCCGCAACATGTTTGGTGAACTTAATGCAGACAATACTTACAACAGATCTGAATCACTGTTGGAGGAGTGAGAATATCCTCCTTTCACTAGCACACTAGCACTGTGAAAGGAAGGCTTTCACTTTTCCCTCACCATGACCGCAGCACTTCGCACCCACCGGTGCTCAGGACCAGACGGGGCCCTTCGGACTTTACTGCTCGGATCAAGAGATCGAAGACCTCATCGCTCAATCACGCCCGATGCCAAGCCACCTCCGCTTTCTTTGTATGGTGTTCATGCCAAAGCGTTTTTACTGGCATCTAATGTGATTCAAGCTGTGCCCCCCTGTTCGTGTGCTGGAACTGCCCGAATGCTAGACCCTGCTTGAAATCGCTTTCAGTGCGGCCACTGGCCTCCTATTGGACAGATGTGATGGCAACCTGAGTTCCTGGTTGATATATTGAATGGGCTCAACAAAAACAGAAACCACCAGCACATCCCAGAACTTTTCCTGGTAGAGCGTCTACGCGGTCCGGAGGGCTTTGTTCAGAAACCCTTAGGGTCCAGACGCACAGGTCGCTGGTTCACCGAGGTTCAGAACGACGGCCCAGCACACAGGCGGTCTAGGGGTCGGGTCGTGAGATCTCCGCGCGGTCGCGAGGTGGTTCGTGAGAGCTCCACAGAGCTCCACTGGGCCGTTTGAACATGTGTTTGGATATGTGTGAATCATGTCGGATATAGGAACCGTACATGTGCAAGGCAGCCAGGCATTGGAACAGATATTTTCTATATTGGAACAGTATGTGTAAGGCATTGGAACAGTACTTGTCGGATACAGGAACAGTACATGTGTATTCGCTGGATTGTTTATCCTGCAAGGCATTTGTGTGTGCACGTGTGAGGTACATGCACCATGCGTTGGCTTGATAGCTGCTAGCTTCACACCTGCATGCAAGAACAAGCTGATCGATCGAATTGCGACTCTCCTCCAGTGACTATGACCTTTGATAACTTGTAACTTATAACTTATAACCCTTATTATTTTAGAAGTGAGTTGGACGATTGTGCAGGGAACAGGCCAACAAATCCAGCATGCTGGCGTTCTGAGGTGAATTATTGAACAGATGAGTCCTTATGGTTGCAATCCTGATCCCGGAGTAGTTTAGTCATGAAAGAGATCATCATGTGGACCTATTTACTAACCAACAGGCTCGGTCAATGCATACATCACCATCCAGGGTTTCTTAAACTATCTATATAAATTACATAGCTATAGACTAGAGATCAACAGCAACAGCAACAACCGAAACGACGACAACGACAAAAAGACACATCCTTGACCCACATGGTGATCAGTGATCCCGACTCTGATGTGAAGATTCTCTTTGGGAGCGGAATCACTTGTGTTCCAGAGGTTAGAGATGAAGATCCACTCTGGAGGGCAGGAATTGAACATTTCTTGATGAAGAGCACCGACTGCGACGCAGTCGGAAAGTCCATCTTCCGTGAGCGTGACTTCAGTGGATGAAGATCTACTGAGTCTACTGAACTCCTCTGCCTTGTCGCGTGGCCGGGTACGGCGCCAACTAACATGCACTACGAAGAAACCTTCGGGTGTCACTGGCTTTGAGAGCACACCAGAGTGACCCGAATTGTGTGAAGGAGTAGATGGTGGAGTTGCAGCAGGCATCAGCAGGCCTACAAGATCCATAAGTGTTTGTCTCAGGATGATTAGCTAATGGTTGGTTCGTTTGAAGGGTACACCCTAAACGTTTCTATATAGACGTTCCTACACCAGCCAGTCTCAGAACCGATTTCGAAGACGGTGGAAATCCCTCGCAGAGCACCGACCGGAGCACCGGTCACCGGTTTGTCTCGGTGCGACATGGTGCGACTCACCCGGTCGCTTCGCCATGCCATGAGCCGACAAACGTTGCTATTGGCCATCGGATTCGAATCCTCTGATCCCTCCAACCGCATCTGATCCCTTTGTTCCTTCGTTGGTCGACCTGTCACCATCTCCATCCATCTCCCACCGGTCACCTGTGACCTCTGCTCTCGCAGGATCGCTCCCGTTTGGTGGAGGCACTCTTCTACTACTTGGATTCCGACAAGGAGGGGTTGCGCATGCCGCGATGAGTCGACTGTGATGAGGATCTTCGTTTTCGCCAAGTCGTCGAGGATCCATGTTGCCCAATGCCAAACTTTAAAAAAGAAACACATCAAATTGGATAAGCTTTTCTATAGATCGAGTCTGTGTTTCTTGGACATCGGTTTGGACATCTATAGCTTCACCGCCTCCAACAAAAACCAACTAAAATGGTTTATCTCTTCCGGAAAGACCACGAGGACGAACGAGGACCGGCACCTTTTGTCGAAGACCTGCCGAGGACGGGCTTTTGCAGCTGAGCGACGTGCAACGCTTGGCCGAAGACCTGCCGAATGTGGACCCTGAGGACATCACCCCGCGGGTCACCGGTGGGGTGGACGGGGTACCTGCTGAGAGGCTTTGTATATTTCCAGGACCTCAGGTGATCCGGTATATGAAGGGTGTATAATATAACTTGTAGGCAATTACATGATATGGGATGGCCTTTAGATGGCTTTAGGGCTGTTCAACCATGTGCAAGCTCTCTTGCTACACAAAGAGACTGCGAAAAGCCAGAATCGCAACAGTGACGGAGCCTCAACAGAGCCATGGTGCCTTTCAATGCTGTTCTTTGGACTCTCGGAACATCTGGGAAACATGGAATTCGTACATGAGCAGTTGAGGAGAAAAGTGCTTGATCCAAATCCGAGTTGCAACAACCTGGGAATCGGGTGGGCATGTCCCTAAGGGATCCTAAGGGTGTCAAACCCAGAATATGATGATTAAAGTCAAAAACACCCTGTGTGTTGGGAGTTTGCTCATTTTGAGTTTGGCTGCAGCTCCCCTCATTTACCCCGCACCTCTATCCATAAACTCATGAACCTCCAACCCCCCCCACAGAGGATTGAAAACCGTAAAACAACAGACACATGAATGAACAATCACATCTCCCAACATCACAATTCTCTCCCTAGAATCTCCCAACCTCCATCCATCCATTTCACCTCCTTCCACACCCCCCCCAAAAAAAGACAATGAAAAAAGCGGTCCCACAGTCCCACGCTCAGCTCATCCGCTCACGTCCATCTCATCCGCTCCGCCGCGCTCCGCCTACCCCGGGTGCGTCGCCAGGAGGTGACTCGCTGGAGCTCGGACGTGGTGCCACTAGACCTGGAAGCCTTTCGAACGCGTGTGAACCGCCGCGCGGGAGCCCGGGTTTGGAGGCCTTGGAGGTGGGTTTGGGGAGCCCCCCTTTTGTTTGGCGGGGGAATGGGTGGTGGGTGAAGCGTCTTTTCCGCGGGCGAAAGCCGCCGATGTCAGGGTGACATTGGATCCACATGAGTCCATTCTATGTTTCAAGCTGTTACAAGAGCGTGCTCCTAGTAGTACGGCCAGGAGCCCCTAGTAGCTCCTAGTAGCGATGCCAGGAGCCCCTAGGAGCTTCTTGTTACACGTATTATAATGGCATTTGTTGAAACAAAAGTCACTTGGGCCATGATTTCGCTGCCAGAGTGATTTCACATGCTTTCGCTTGGCCGCCTCCGGCCAGGCCATGTACATTGCATCCCAGTGAGCGGTTCAACTCTCTCGTCTTGGCGGTAGCCCCCCTACTGAGGCGAGGAGTGCATCTACTGCGACGATGCAGCGCTCCAACGCGGTCTGGCGAGGACACCGCCCAGCCGAAAGTCGGAATTCCATGTGTTTTGTCACATGTAGGTCGGATTGGGAAATGACATAGGCTAAGGGATATATGTATAATATAGAACATAATGGAACAATAAAAACCTCAAGATTCGCAAGTGCCCTGAAATCTCCAGCGAGAGCGTTGCACTGGAACCGTTCCCCTCTGACGTTGGGTCCCCCCAACGACCTGAAGATCGATGGCAGCGACGTGGGGTTCGATCGCTGAACAGAGATTGCATGAGGCATGCGACTTTGGGACTGTGGGAAGGATCACCAGGTTCGGATGGCCTAAGGTCTCGGATCTGATCTGAAATGCTAGCCCTTGTGACTATAGTAGCTACTAGTAGTAGTGCCGTTGTTACTAGTAGCGATGCCCTTGTTACTAGTTTTTTAAACGTAGTGCAGTGGGACAAGGCACCCACAAATTCAGGTGCTCTTCTGTTCTGCTCACGGCATTTGTTCTGCTCATGTGGGTGTTTGTTTGCTGTGCCTCGAAGCCATGTGACGGTTTTCTTGGGTGATTCTCAGGGCAGATTGACCTCTTTCCAGCTGTGATTGTCAGGAGGCTCAGCCGCCGTTGAGGCCACAAGGGTGCCTGAGATTTGGTGCGAAGGCAGACATCCTGCAGACTTGGTGGAACAAACTCTACAAATGGATTTAAATATGGAGAGTCTCAGGTACTCTTGATGTTGTGCAGGATTTGTTCATCACCAGCAAGGACTTTGTTCAGGATTGTTTCTGGGCACAGTGATAGTGGTGTCTGACACACAGAATACGGTCCGGATTTTCCAAGCGATATATGGGCATGAGTTCTCATGGCCCTTCCCACTGACAACTTGCTAGTAGGTTATGAATTTGCAGGATTCAAGCAGGAAGCATGCCATGATAAAAGTGTTGCTAGACAGCTTGCCAACAGAGTTGTGGCAACTGTGACTTCTTCCGGACCACAGGTGTTTTCCGGACACCAATAGCTGCATGGACACACAAGCACACCCACTGTTGCAATATGTTGCAATGGTGTTGAGCAGAACACACTTTAAACATCTGGGCCATACGTTTTCTTTTAGCTGCGATTCGCTGGTTCCAGCCACCAGGCCTTTTCTCATGACTTGACTGACTTGGGTCAGCGGTGATCGCTGGATATGGCTGTATCTTATCTTAATTATATTGTAATATTAAGGATGTGGCGATGAGTCAAAACCTGGAGCCCCAACACTATGTAGTTTGACCTCACGTCGCTAGGTCAACCAAGGTATCCTGGTGTTCACCCACGGCCATATATAATGGTTTCATTAAATGTATAACATCGCCGTCATGGGCCTTATACACATGGCCGCCATCTCTCGGGACGTATGTCTGGCACCTGCGAAGTTCCTCATGTCCTGCATTGAATCTACATGGCTCCAGACGCATGTCTGACCGTGGTTTTGCAGTGAGTGTTCGGGTGGATGCTTCTTTTAGCTGCAGTGGTTTCAGAGCAGATGGTGGCCTATAAGGACCCCTATGAAGGAGAAAACACATCTTGGGGTTGGTGCCATCTGCTCTGAAACCACCCTTCATGTTCCCTAAAGTGTTCCCTAAGTATGGGTGAATTCCCCTGGCATGGTGAAGATGTTTCATGTTTTGTACCGGCCTTGCCTGGACAGCAAAGAGACTCATGTCATGTCTTGTCCACCAAATCCTGCCTTGCCTGGACATCGACTCTTTGATGCCTGGGGCCTGGATGAGAGCCCATGGAAGGCGCCTGGTCAATGCGCGTGGCCGTGAGCCGTGAGTCAAGGCGCCTGGTTAATGCGTGATCAATGTACATACGCTCCAACCCGTGCGGCCCGGTGGATCTGACGGCCGGGTATTTGAGCGGCCCGTGCTTGTATATGCTTGTATTGATTAGCTAAGTCCTTCAACTGTAAGACTTGGGAAGTTCAATTCCATGGATCCAGCCAAGACTAGATGGCAGGGGCACGTGGTTTTTTTCTGTAGCCAAGAGATCGACTTCCCACCTACAGAGGCATTCAGAGGTCCCGAGCTTGAAATCGTACTTCTTTGAACTGCGTCCAGTCGTCTGAGTTGTTTTTGGTCCAGTCGTCCCACAAATGATTTTGTTGTTCCAGAATCCATTCAAATTCCTGTAAAACATCCCAGTATGGACAAGCATATATAATCGCATTCCCGTACGGATATGCGTAGATCATATTATATATATCGAGAGACTATAGACTATAGATGATTGATGATGTATATTCATAGTAGTATAATTAGACCAGCATTGTCATTTTTGTTCACCAGAAATGACCTCCTAAGTAGTTTTACTACAAAGAGTTTGCTAATTTTGTAAACCTTTAAATAGGTCTCAGAGTCTTTGTGGGGACAGTCTTTCAAGTCACGCGACGATGTTTGTTCTGAAATGCAGTTAGATTTCTTGGTGATAATGAGTGAACATGTGTTGAAACACTGTCAACTTCAGCCTAGTTGTTTAAGCCAACGGCGTTGTTTACGACCCCGGAGAAAGGTACATTTTTTCCGGTTTTGATGACATTAGCAGGTATGGATGTGGGTTGATGTTTGATATGTTCCATTGAAGAGATGGGGGGGTGGGGTTGGGTGGGGGGCTAATTACGTTGGTTTGAATGTGCGTCGAAGATGATGTCACATGCACACACGCTTGCTTGGCAAAGGATTGCTGCTCACATGGATATTCGACATGCAAATGTCGTGCACAAGCAGATGCAGCGACCGAAGATGGTAAGAAAGAACACGCCTGCAACATCGACAGGCTGCTGCTCTATGTGAAATCCTGGATCTTCCGCAACAATGCGACCAAAGATCTTTGGCCAGTGGGAGAGCTCTGTTGCAAGGCGATGCGTCACTGAGAAGAAAACAGCTTGCTTGATATGGGAGCCGCAACAAAACAAAGCAATAAAACTGCTACGAAAAATGCATCCCACCTCAAACCAAAAATTGAACACCAAACCCGACAGGGGAGGATGAAAAAGACTTTTTGAACACACACTATTTCGAGAACAAGTTTTGCACTCCAAAGATGATGCCGCAAGAAACTTCAATTTTTAACAACTTAAAATAAACAATCCTTGGCAAAGTCGCCAAACCCCCAGGATCACTAACCACGCCGTAGCCATGTTCAACAAACATCACTCATTGTTGATACAGTGAAGGCCCGTGAATGACCGTGAGCCCACCCTCATATCTACCACATACATGTTTACCTGGTAAAGTGGCTGGTGCAGGAGGAAAAGCGATTGATTGGAGAGAAGCTGGCACAGAGATCAAGTTAAACTAACTCTGAATCCAGGTGTTTACATAGTGTACTAGTAAGTTTGCTAAGCTTGTCTATCGTGTTGGTAGGTTAACACCCGGCGAGGTTCAAGGCTGGGAAACTCACGGAGAGTAGAGCGTGTATGACCACATGGGGATCTGAAGCCTGACCCATGGGTCCTAAGATCACAAGGCACCAGCCATTGGTTCCAATTTTGGCGGAAGATTGCTTCGCAGGGCATGCCAGCTAAAATAATGCATGCAATGGAACATGGTCATTTGAGGGTCGTTTGTTGACTTGCCATATGCAGATCCACTGGGCAGTGCGATGGGGTATGAGTGTCGACCTGATCGGATTTGTCCATGGCTGTGGTCCTCCCATCCTGGAATGGAAGACACATTGATTTGCCAACAATGAAATGGCAGAGTACCGATCACATGATTGCAAAGGAAAATCCTTTTCCCTGGGGGCACGGGCACGCAATCCACTTAATGACGGACAATGCCTCAATTGAAATTAACAATTCATCCTTGAGGGTGTTGATGTAATCGGACCCCTGGGATCGACACACATTACACATACACGAGGCCATGGAAAGCGGGTCTGCGAAATATGCATCTCCCCGGCATACCATGGCCATGTTTCAAATAGCCTCCGGAATGTTGCAAAGGATGTCTCATAGTGTTGATGGCTGCCATTTCAATCAAACTGTGATATTATATGTGATATTCCAAGTATATTCTGGTTTTGAATATTGCAGGATCAGGTTCAGTCGCATCCCACAGTTTGTAACACTACCACCGGCAACGCAACGCCCGTTGCCCGCCCGCGTGACCCTGCAGCACGTCGCTGATGACCGGTGGGAAAAATGGTTCAATCTGTAGAGCTGTTGGTAAAGAAGAACACTATTTTAGAGATGGAAAGGCAAGCAACCAACCAGGCGCCATCATCCACTAGGCCCTCACAATGGGAGATACCCAAGTTCAATCATTACCTTCAAGTGGATCCATGAAACTGGAAATTCATATATAATCATATACAGTATATATATATATTAGTATTGTATATATATAATGTGAGGAGACCAACAGAAGAGGGGCTTTGCATGGCTTCACAGGCTTGTCAACAGACAGCATCCTTTTGGGATGTTTGGTATTGTATGGAAACAGACCCAGGAATGTTGTCGTGGAACAAAACTCGATGTCTTCCAGGCTGAGCAACTGGTCAGAGCCTGAGCATGCACGGTTTATATACTTGGCCTACCGTGATGCGTTGTTTTGCAAGGAGTTCAGTGTTTAGTTGTTTCCCTCATTGTCCCATAGTATACAGTTTATACAGGTGAAGGCCATGAATGTTGCAGTGGATCTACTTGCCTCTATAAAATGTCAATGGCCCATGGTTTCAAAGTTAATTTTGTTTAGTCCTACTATTCTGGAACCAACTGTGGCAACTGGACCCCCTGGGTAAGTGTGAAAGTTACTCAGCCCAAATGTTGGATTGCTTTGGTTGTAGATCGCACAGGATCAGGACGAAAAACCTCCTGTTTCCAGCAAATACCAATTTGTGTTCCCTTCAAACATCTTCAAACATGATTGAGACCACTTATCACAAGGAAATCATGCGGAGCAGAGGCATTGCAAAGGAGATGAACACTTGCAATGTCATAATGGCCAACTGTTGATCCCTCACCATTCTATAAACTTAATAAGCACTCACGATTGTGTTTATGTTTCGCAATGTTTGTCGATATGGTCAGTCTATGGCTACGTGACTTGGTCAGACTTCAATGCTTTCGAATCCGCTGCTGCATGGTGCACGTGCGCTGACGCACCACGCTCAGCGTGGTGGTGCCGCTACGGCCTGACCAACGTTGTCAGGCGAAAAGCCGAAATGTGGTTGGGGAAACGTCTGAGACTGGGGGCCAAGTCCAACATGGTGGCGTGATTTTTCGTGGTTCAGGTCTGTAGCCTAGGGCCTATAGGGAATGGGACACACAGGGTCATGATGCGCCTTTTTACACGAACAGGGGGAAGGTTTTTTGGGTGAATTGATTTACCACGGAAAAACTCAACGCTGCTGGGAACCGCCTTTGGCCGGGGGCGGCAGATGGATGCTTCCTGAAGGTGCTTTCATCCCTTTGGGCGACTGGCTTCATGCCCAAAGTGGTGAAAGTTTGTGTATTTTTGAATTTGATGATGAATGGAACGCGATGTTTCTAGAAGTTCGAGGGCCAGCCCCGGCTTCAGGCCAGGTCTAGAATCTAGACAGTTTATAAAAACGCACCACAGGCAACCTGATGGAGGGTCTTGAGAACATGCCCTGACTGCGCTCCAAAAGGACACGCCTGACTGCAACGACACTGGAAACTTGCCATAACCTCATTTTGGACGAGCTGGAAACGTGTCTATGTGACCACTCCTCTACTATCCAACATAATAAAACTTAGTTCAAGCACCAATATAGAAAGTGGCAATAGAGCGCTGATTGAAGAAGTCCTCATGTTCCACAACCACCAGCACTGCCCATACCCAATGACACCATTCTAGGTTCCCAAACCGTGAAGCCATTGAAACGTGGACCCTCAAAGTGACCTTTTTGGAGTCTTTGCCCGTGATCTCTTCAGGGAGGAGTCGTGACCTCATCCTCGGATCTCAAGTAAACAATCAAAAGCAGGACGACACGGACGCTTCGAAAGTCAGAAGGCTTATTGACAATCACTCATTGACCATCAACCAGACACAGATGAAACCTGAACATGTATACCCAGAGAACGCATGTGAGACCTGGCATTCCTTTTCTGGCCGCTTCAAGGTGGAAGGAATGCAAGGTTCAAGCAGCCTGGCATGAGTGTCAAGAAGCCCACGCCGGGCAAACTTTGCTTCCAAACTTCACTGGGCATGGCATGCGTGCGCGGAGCCGTGTGGGGAGAAGAGAACTTCTCGAGGATGAACTGGAGGCTCGACCTGAAGTTCAGTGACTGAAGGTCAAGGGAGTTCCTGGGAAATGGATTGAACACCTACGAAGAAGCGCAACCTAGGTATGGGGGACTCCTTCAAAAACCTATGTAGGTACGCTACGCTTGTTGACGGTCTTTGTCTTTGCGGCAGCGGATAGTCCAGTGTTGGAGTCAGTGAGGTGGCTGTGGAAACATGGAATTGGTGTTGTGACGTGTTCTACTGGATACCCTGAATTGTACACTAATTTGTTGTGATTTTCCTATTTATTGGAAGGTTTTAGCACCATCGGTGGTGATTGACTCCGTCAAGGAATGATGATTACAAGAGTCCCGGACACCTAATCATGGACGCGCACGGATCTTAAAAGGTCTGTGGGAGGATGTCAATGGGTGTCGGGTGGGTAGAACATCCTTTGGACTCTGAACCATAAACAAGGGAAGCATCCGATAATTGCCCATCATCTCCCGTCATGATCAAGGCTTGTCCAATGTCCACCGGGGAAGCACGCAATGATATATGCCACATTATATGCCATTATCGTCAGCAACATATTTCACAGCATTCTCTTCTCGGCCAGGAGAAGAGACCGCCCAGCGGTCCACGCTTCACGTCCAAGCCACGGGATTTTGTCTTCTTGTCCACCTCGGCACCTGGCCAGACAACCAGTGGGTGTGAGGGCGGAATGGAAGGCCAGACAACCTTTAAGCAAGGTGTTCAGAACCACCAAAACCACCCAAAAAACAAAACACTGCTGCAGGTAGAGCATTGAGGTCTTGTTGGAAACTGGATCAATACCTCCGTAGGGTTCGCTCTTGATCCCCTTCCCAACCCCCCTGAGGCAGATGTGCGGGTGGTGGCGCAAGCTGGCCAGGTTCGCCGGTTTCTTCCAGGTTCTTCGCTGGTGCACAGGGGCACGACGCTCCCAGAACCCCCAACGTTAGACATGGAAAGACATGGAAAGACCGGATCTGAATCCAACCACACGGGCTTCATCGGGCGAAGCCCGGACTTCTACCGCTCGACAGGACTCATATTCTCTACCGTTGTCATTGTCGCCCACCGCGCGACATCCGACGTCGTTCGGTTGGACCTGAAGACAGCGCTGCTGGCCGGCCACAGCGCTGCTAACCCCAGTGATTTGGATCTGGTCATGTTGACTTTGAACGTGTTTGAACGCAAAACAATTCATTCTCGCCATAGTCATTACATAATATAGTCATTACATAGCAAAACATAGCATAGTCATTACATAGTCACTACGTTGTAGACCCGACTTGTTTTTGCTAATGGGCTTAAAACCGCGCGTGTAGTGAAACTGATTTTTCATACATTCCTTTGGGGGGCAAGAACACACACAAACACACGCGTTGGAATATGGAAGATGGGGACACGGGGGGTGGGGTTAGGGGGGAGGGGGGGTTGGGTGGGGGCTAGTGATGTTCATGTTGTGTGAATGTTTATTAGGAAGCCACACACGCACACGCTGTGGAAGAGGGTGGGAGTGAGGGCAGTATGTGGCAGTGAAGTACACTGGACCTGATCAAAAACACCAAGTCCCTCTCTCACGTCCAAGTGTGCGAGCGACGACGAGCACACTTTCTATGGCACGGAGTGCAGGTATTGGGCTTGAGCCAAATGAATTAAGCGGCAGCTGACTGAAGAGAATGTATGCACAAGTAACTGCGGACAAAAGGTGCTACACACGTATAGCGTAGACACGCCTAGGGGAACCTAGGACCCTACAAAACACAGGGGGCCGAAGTTTAAAGACGTTGCATGTTCAGTGCATCATAGCGCGTACGAAGATAAAGCCAGACACACACACAGACAGGTCGGTACGCGCAGGTGGTTGGGGTGTGTCAGTTCTTTTTTTAAGACGTCGACGCGTGGAAACTTGGCTTGGTGGTTACCGACTGCTTGTTTATTCCGAAGTTTTTCCGTTCGGGGGATTGTCAGATGCTTGACGTCAGGAGAGCTGCTCATCCACACCGGTGCCATTGATGGTATGTGGCGTTTGTGTAAGGAGCCGGTCCCCACCACCAGAATAAAGACGATCTTCTGACGAAGCTGGGTCAGAAGTTGTCCCACAGACTGTGATGATGATGCTGGAGGATGAAGAAGCGCGCCTCTTTTTGGCACGAAACCACAGTTTCGTAGCACTTCGATGTCAAAATCGCAACGATTTTTGAGTTGTTTTCATGTACTACATGCTGCAACAAGCCTTTCACATCAATGCAAAGCACAGTCACACAACGGACATTCGTCATCATTGACCACGTGAAGATTTGACAAATGTCTTCAACCGCACGCGCGGAAACGAGCCCGGCGGGTTGTTTTTGTCCTGAGTTGGTTGCTACATGATGCTATATGCCGTATCATGCAGTATTGTGTTTGGCTGATGTAAATAAGGATTGCCAAATCGGATTGAACATCGATTTAACATTGAAAACTAACGCAACCGTTCGGCACAGGTCGAGTTCCTTTGTGACTCCAGCCTTCTTTTCCGCGCATCGCCCTTCTTTGTGGCGGCCTTACGTGGGGACCCTCGAAGACATTTCTTCTTTGAGTGGTTTGGGCGAACGTCGATTGGATCATCTAAAAAAACCAGTGTTTTCAGAGGTTCGATGGCATAAGGTCCCCCATTAAAAACATCTTTGGGTTTGTGCCATCTACTCTGAAACCACTGTAGTTTGATAGACAGAACAGTACTCGTATCAACTATGTATGTTCTGTGCAAATAAAAAGGACTTTGCTATGTAGATGATTGGTACTCAAAACAATACTGATATTCGTTGGATCGCTCTTTTTCTTCTCTGCGAGTGATCGACAGATATTGCTACGAACCGGTGCACCGCACTCAGTGCGGGGCAGTGAAGAAGGGCCAGGGCCAGGTTTGTTTTTGGTCACACTAAGGGCCGGAAACGGCTGTAGGGTAGAGGTGTCAACAAACATACCTGTCATTGGTGTAGGGTAGTTCATTAAGGATATTTGTCCAAGGATGTTTTTGTTGATCCTGATCATGATTTTCAGTTAGTCAGCAATCCTGGGGCTCCAACCATATCGTCAGAAAAAAAACTTTAAAACAAAACAGATAGACCCCCTGAAACCAACCCCAACCACCTTCTCAGAAGGTAGTTAGGTGGAGCTGTACTTATCAAGTCCCAGCCGCTCGCTTTCAGGTCCCAGTAGCTCTTCCCAGCCCCAAATGGTGTTTTTTTCGGAAGCGCACCGAACCTCGGAGGTGCTTAGTCGTACCGAACCGGATCCAGATCGTACCGAACCTCCATCCGGTCCAGTCCTGGACCCCTTGTCTGGCTGGCACCATGTCTGGCGTGGCCACTCTCACCGTAACCGGTTCGGTAGGAAGAAGACGGATCCCGGTTCGGGCAGACTGACTGGCGTTTTTCTCGGTCTGATCAGTGGATCTGATCAGTCCCTCTTTCGCAGGAGGGGGATGAGTGATGCGTAAGATTCACGGGTCTCGGAGTATGTTTTTGTCCATTGACTCAAGAGTTGTTTGGAGACGCCAAGAACACTGCAAGGTTATGGACAGTGAGTTTTGTTTGATGTGTTTGTTTATTATGTTCGATGTATATATATATATATTTATATCTGGTATTTAGTTGGACTCAAACAGGTTGAAGATCCCCAAAAGGCTCTTTGAAGAAGCCGGTTTCCTACAAGTCGAAGATAACCAAAAGGCTCTTTGAAGAAGCCGGTTTCCTACAAACCTAAGGCAGCCTAGAAAACTTTCACAAATGAAAGTAAGAGCATGTAAGAGCCCTATGTGACCATATGAACAACAGGCCTTTCAATAAACCTTCTGGATTCTGGACCATTTTCCAAAAGTGGGTAAAAGGGTACCCCAAATTGCCCAATTGGTTTGTTTCAACTTCTTCCCCAAACAAATCCTGCAATACTAAGCTCTCTTCCCTTTCTTACCCCCTTCAATTTCACCAATCCCTCATTCCATGGTCTATTGCCAATTAACTTCCCTTCTCTCCGATTAACTTCCAAAACACCTTTTGCTCCTGCTGGCTCATTGTTGCCTCATGCCTTTGACAGTTTGCCCACTCAGTCAGACTTATTGGATAGGCCATTGACCAAATTGGTTGGATACGTGTAGCAAATGCCCAGGTGTAGTTTTGATGCTCACCACGCATGTTGGCATCCTGCTTCTCAATTAGTTTATCCTCTTCCATATCTTCAGCCTCCTCACCCAGCTCTTCTTCTCCAGCACCTCTAATGCATCTCAATGCTACCAAGACCCATCTCATCATAAAGAATCTCACTGATCTTCGCTTGGGCCCAGATCCTCCCAAATCACCCAAAATTCTAACACTGCTCAGAAAATCCTTCACACACTTTTTTACACAAAAAGACCTAGGGCCCCCCATAAACCCTCTACTCAAGACACTCCCCATGTTTTTTTGGTCTCTCCCCCAAAAGGAAAGCAACTTTCCCACAGGCCTTTGCTGCCCTTTCCAAGAAACTCATCCAACGTCTTTGCTTCCACTGTCCTTCCTCCCCCAACATATGAAGGAAATCATTTGTGCTGCCAAGACTATGGCTTGTCCGCCGCATATATAATTGGCAAGCATTATATATAATATATATATATATATGTAATTTATATGGTTTGTGTTTTGCTTCTGCAGCTGGGAGGATGAAGACTTGTAGATGTATATAGATCCTCATTTCCCTCCAACGCTGCTTTCTGTCAGCAGAACCGTTGCCTTCATGTGCAGAGCGAACATGTAACATGTGCTATTCAGCACCCCCTGTGAAGAGCATTCTTCTGAATGGCTATTTTGAATGGCTATTCTGATGCGTGTCAATGTCATTGCCTCTTGGTGTAGAGCACACAATAGTGAAATGTTCACAAAGTGCGAACTTCCAGTCTCTCCATGAGTCGTATCAATCAAACTTGGAACTTCAACGTGCACACCGCACACTGTTGGAGTTGTCCACTCGCTTTCTTCGGCGGTCGGTCAGTCCCGCTCAAATAGTTCGGCTGTCCAGGATCCCACACTTACTAGTTTTCGATCAAAACTGCCCCAGGTGAAGACTGCTGGTTGGAGGCGGGTGGTGTTTCACTTCACTGTTGACCTGAGATTTTTTGTTGGCTGGGTTCAAGCTCCCTCCAGAAAAGGGCTTTCCTTGGTACTCCCCTGCGTTGGTGAGAACTCAAAAGGCGTCCCTGTTTTGCACGAAAGGATCTCGGTCGTTGTTTCTTCGGACAAGTCCAGATGAAAGAGCAAGATGGACCAGAACCTGGTTCCAGGCTGTTCTTTGATGTGGCAGTGAAGACGTCATTGGTATCATCTAGGGACCTTGCAGGCCTTCACTGTGCAGGGATGCTGGGCTCATTGGTACGTTGGAGGGTGCTGAGATCTTTGGTTTGTTTTAAGCAGGTTTAAATGCATAACCAAGACAACTACGTTACCAGACCATTTTTGCAGGATGCATGCATGCCTATTTCAATATGTATATGATGAGACGTCCCCGGTAATTAAGACGACCGCGTTCGGAATCGTTTTTATACACAGAGTTTGGCTCGAACGCACATGCCCTGTCGGGACTGCGGGCTCCTTTGCGGGGAGCACGAGCCATTGTGCACGTTCTGCCGGACTCGCAACCGCTTCTGGTTCGTGCTCGACGATTTGCCGGTTCAGCTACGTTCCTGGGCCGTGAACAGCCTTCGAATCTGGACAAGTATCCTTCAGGAAGAGGGCGACAAGCACCAAGAGCACGTTCGCTTGCAGGAAGAGGCCGGCAAGACCACTGCACCCAAGGCGAAGAGCCCGGCTTCAACAGTTTCTCCTGGTCCGGGGAGAGCAGAGTCGGCTGAGGGAGAGGAACGCCCCGACAAGACTTGGGTCAAGCCGAAACGCGAAGAAGAGGAAGCAAGGAGCCCCGTCAAGAAGGAGTTCAGTCCGAAGGAGGCCGAGGGAGAAGGCAAAGAGACCAGCTCGTCGAAGGCACATCATCGAGAACCTGATCAACGGTCGAGGAAAAGGAGCAGGACCCGAAGCAGGGGTCACAGAGACCGGAAGAGGGCAAGCAAGACCCGTTCGAGGAGTCGGAGAAGGCGAAGGAGGAGTTCGAGAGGTGAGGCAGCGGGTGAGGCCACCCTACGTGAGCGGGAGCCAGCACCAGCAGAGAGGAAAGCCAAACCTTCAGTTCGATCACCACGTACGCCATCGATATCACCTCCGGGGAGGCACAATCCTCCTTCCAGGACCCCGCCTATCATCAGGCCAGCGGTCAAGAAGTGGGACGGAAGGCCACCTCCGTGGAAGTTGCAGCCAAAGTACTTTGGTGAAAACAAGGGCGCAAAGAAGAGAGAGAGGCACTGGTATCGGGCTCAGGGAGACGAGAGCTGAGGACCAGCATAGGCGATGCCACCCAGGCGTCGGCCGGCAGGTGCATTGGGAGAAGCGCCTCCTAGGCGGGGAGGGGCAGTGAGGAGGAGGCCAGCCGCAAGGGAGGCTGGTGAAGCAGAGGCTGAAGGAGAGTTGAGGGGTGAGGTACTACGCCTTGCCTCTACAGGAGTGAAGTTTGAGAGAGGAGAGAAGACGAAATGCGAGGAGGTTCCTTTGGAAGTATTTCGGCGGGGCTTGCCGATATGCCTCGAGGGCGTCTATTGGGGCGCCCAAGCGATGGTGGCAGGTCTGGTCGAGAGCCTTTACATCAGGACACCCAAGGATGTGGAGTTGCACGTGAAAGTTCAAGGCACTACAGAGGAGAACTTGCTCAGATGGGCCACCGGCCACCCCGGCCTGAAGCTCAGGGTTCATCTCTGCGGGGATTCATGCCCCGAGAAGCTCGAAGCGGAGGACCTCATCCATGGGATGACCGTTTCAAAGAGGACAGGCGAGGACGATCCATGGATGGCAAACTTGATCGAGGAGGTCGCAAGGCCGGAGGGCTCAGGAGCAGCCCCCCCTCCTGGTCGGGGAGAGGGAAGAAGGAAGGGGCAAAGGGAGCAGTGCAAAGGCAGCTGCAGAAGAGGAGAAGTCCGAGGCGAAGAAGAAGAAAAAGAAGAAAAGGAGGAGCGAAGAGCGAGGCAGGAGTCCCGAGAAGAGCAAGGAGAAGATCGACCTGAAGTCAGGAGCTCGCAAGGAGTTGAAGGAGGTGTTTGGAGGGACGGGCCTGGACCCCGACCCCAGGTTCAGGCGTCGCTATGCCGTGAAGGCCCAGAAGAAGACCAAGAAGAGAAAGAGGGACTCCTATTCAACGGGGAGTTCAAGCAGCGGCAAGACAACGACCTCCGAGTCCGTGGAAGTGTTCGAGGAGCAACAGAAAGTCCGCAGGCTCTCCAAGCGGGCACCGGGGGTCCTAGCGGCCCTAGCAATGAGGGAGATGCAGACCAGCTTGCTTACAGCGACAGGTGGCGTATGGCAACAAGATCAAACAGCGATACAGCCCTTGGCGGTCCAGTATTTCCGCCAGTCGTTGGCTCCTCGTCTTCAAGGCGGACCTGGTCGCGAAGGATTGACCCTTTGCTGGGCCATCGATCTGGCCTTACAAGGAAGGATGGCAGAATGCGTCGACGCTCTGGTGCAACGGCTGAAGTCAGTCGAAATGGTGTCACAGGGCTCCGCTTGGCAAATAGCGCAGCGGCTCGAGGTTTTGCCTCCGGAAAGACCCCTTCTTTCCTCAAGGGGGGAAGCAAAAGAGGCAATCAGAGAACAAAAAGAGGAACAGAAAACTCGCAACGAAGCATCCAAGGGGAAGAGCAAGTCAGACACCTGGCATTGGCGAGATCCTGGCAGCGAAGGAAAAGGAAAAGAAGCGAAGGGCAAAGGAAAGAAAGGAAAGGACAAAGGAGATCGAGGAGATCAGAAGAAGTGACCGTCCAGGGCTCGCCAAAGCTGGATGCCGGAGGGAGTTCGCCTTCCAACTATGAGGCCCCCTTTGAAGAGCAGGGCACGTTTTTTCCATCAGCCTCGAGGCCGAGCCGTCACGTCGATGGCACAGTGCTTGAGGCATCAGCAGGCGCCGGGCCGGGTAATCTGGCTGACTCGCGCCGTTCAGCGGATGAGACCTCGTTGATGACCTTGTCTGCAGAAAAAGTTTGCATGCGGCCGCCGGTGGTAGGTGACAGTTTGATTCAGGTTGTTCCCTGGTTGGTGAACGAGTTGGTTCATCTTTGTCCAAAAGTAGGCTTGGACATGCAATGCAAGGCCCAGCCCAAGGGTGATGTGTTTCCATTGCCCACCAACACGTTGCACCTGGGGAACTGCACGAAAGCTGAGCCGGATGTCATTGGAGTGGTTAGGGGAATGTGCATGGCGTTGAACCTCTTTTATGGGGTGGCAGCTGAGAACGACTTCCACCCTACTTCTCTTCAGGTTGAGGCAGTGAGGCATTTAGCTAGGGAGGCTCAAGTGGCAGTCAATTGGCCAGAGAGATTGGAGCAGACTTCGTGGCAGGACTTTTTTCATTTGAAGACCATTGACTACTGTGGAGACGAGGTCCTTTGTGCACAGTCGACCAGTTGAGCCAATTTGGCGCCAGCTATGCCCTCTGAGATTGCCTCTGTAGACCTGGCTGAGGTGTGCGAGCTGGGGTGCAAACACTATGTTGAGCACTTCACGGAGTATCTCCTACCCGGGGAGATGCAGAAGGCCATGAAAGGGCCTCGGGTACTGGTGCACGATGATCATTGGCAAGAAGTGTGCGAAGGCCTGACAAGGAATGGAGTGTGCACTATTCTCTCCAAGTCTCAGGTCCACCACATTGATGGCCAGCCCCTCCTGAACGGCCTTTTTGGCGTCAAGAAGGACGAAGTGGAAGGAGCAACTCCAATCCATCGCCTGATCATGGACCTGAGGCCTTGCAACAACGTCTGCCGAGGACTTGAGGGAGACGTTGCAACGCTCCCTAGTTGGGCGACCATGGGACCACTGCAGCTGATGCCTACAGAGGACCTGGTGGTATCCTCTGAAGATGTGCGCTGCTTTTTTTATATATTCCGGGTGCCTAGTGAGTGGCACCCTTTCCTGGCCTTCAACAAACCACTACCTCGGAGTATGTGGCCAGGGGACGAGGGACCATACTACATTGCTTCGCAGGTGTTGCCTATGGGGTTCAAGAACTCCGTCAGTATAGCGCAACATGTTCATAGGAACATTGTGAGGATGGCTTCAACCAGGACCAGTGAGGGACTTCGACCTGAGCAGGAGGTCCGGAAGGATAGACCGTTCTCCTCTTCTTCAACACTTCATCGGATCTACCTAGACAACTTCGATCAATTGGAGAAGGTGCCCAAGGATTCTGGTGCGCTCCTGAGCGGGGAGTGTAGCCCAGGCATCGTAGCTCTCAGGGCTGAGTACGAATCATGGGGAGTGCCACGTCATCCCAAGAAAGCGGTCTCTCGATCTTTGGTGGCTGAAGTCCAGGGTGCGATCATCGACGGAAGAATGGGGATCGCCTATCCCAAGCCCTCCAAGGTCTACAAGTACACGGCCCTATCAATCCTGTTCCTTCAGGAGTCCATGAGCAGTCAGAAGCAAGCCCAGGTCATCGCAGGGGGTTTGGTTTACTTGAGCATGTTCAGGCGTCCTCTCCTGGGAAGCCTGAACCATATATGGAGGTTCATCGAGGAGTTCCGTGGCTACCCCCCAGTGATTAAGCTCCCCATTCTGGATGGAGTCAAGGTTGAGGTGGCCAGGTTCCTGTGCCTAGTTCCTTTGGCGAAGTTGGACTTCCGGTTGAACATCTCTGCAGAGGTCACAGCCAGCGACGCTTCGACGACGGGGGGAGGCTTGACAGTCAGCACGGGCTTGACTGGGTTCGGAGTAGCGGCATCGGAGACGAGCACGAGGGGCGACCTGGCAGAACCTCATGACCTTCATGGAGTACTGACCGTTGGCCTCTTTGATGGTATAGGAGCCCTTCGGGTAGCAGCAGATGCCTGTGGGCTAGCCGTGGTAGGGCACATCAGCGTCGAGGTGAACAAGGCAGCCAGCCGAGTGCTTGAGAGCAAGTTCCCGGCCACGGTGTTCGTTGCAGAAGGCGTGGAAGCGGTCACCGAGGAGGAGGTGCAACGTTGGGCCTGCCAGTTTTCTCAGGC